ATGGGGTGTTATCTTTAACACTCCGCCGCAGCGCGAAGTACGATAGGTGCTGCACCGGCACACTATGTTCTTTGTAGACGCCCAAGACTTTGTGTATCTGAATCCCTTGTAGATCTTGACTGTCTTCGAGCCGCGCGTTTTCTTGACGCGCAATGCGGGTTGGCTCTGTGTAGACGGGAGTTGCGTGTTGCAATCAGCGGTGATGTCGTCAGAGGTGGAGGTGTAACTGATTGCATCAGGAAGTAAAGTAGTATGCTGACGCTCGGCGCCGTGGCCAGTGCCAGTCCTCGCTTTATGATTGCTGGCTCTCTTTTGCTTAGGTCGAGCTGGCGTGTGCTGGCGTGCCATATCTACGCTGAGTGCGAGAGCTCAGTCTGACGGGGGTTAATCCGCTTGTGCCCATTCGCTTCGTCTATAGGCGCGAGCCCTAATAGAAATAGATCCTTAAGATACTAATAGAATCCATTATGCTTTCAGCTTGTATGTGGTTCTTCCGTTCAGAGATCAGGTCACGCAGAACAACGCCAAAAATAAGTTCCGTTCATAAGATCCGGTCAGAGCAAAATACGGTCAGTAAAAAAGCCAACCGAATAAACTACATGGGAGATGGTTGTCGGACACCTTTCAGCGCTACACGAGATACTCAAGGGCAGTGGGAGCTCCACTCGCAAAGCTAATGATGCCAATGAAACAGTTTTAACGCATCGACATTTTTGAGCAACGATGTGCAGCGTGGGGATCACCCCGAAACATCGGCGTGCCACATTGTGGTCACCGATGACGTTCAATAAACTGCTTCCAATTTTTCCCCAAACTTTCCTATTCGTCGAATTCAACAGCCTCCAAGTATCTCCAAGGAAAATGTAACATTTCCCATTTTTGTGATATCACAAAAGCGCAAATGCATGGTTAATTCCGAAGCAAGACTTACCGTAAAACTTATGTGCAAACGGACAAGTCGTATTTATCTTGACCCATCTATAACACATATCTTTGAGGACTGACTTTATTTTAAGTATCGAATAATACATTTTTGACCCAATGTTAAGAACACACACGTCTAACTTCTGATTATCTACTTCTGTATTGCTTCCGATTATTCATTCATTGTCTTCTCCGTCGCTTTCGCTGTCGTCAGCCAGGTCGTCGTCGGATGATAGATCTTTATATTTATCACCCACTAAGCATGCCCTCTTTAACGCCCCAAACATGTCGACCGGGATATCAGGAAGAAGTGGGGTTGGTGCGGCCTCACAGGTGGACGGGAGAGGCGACAAAATGTGTGCCTTCCTAAAGCCGTTCATAATCGTTGTACGAGACAGCATATCCCAGCTACCCTTAACCCAAAAGCATCTTTTGTTGTACCTGAATGCCGAAGCCTAGCGCGATGTCGTTAGCGTCGTCTGGCGCAATCTGTCCTTGACGTGTTCGAGCTCGTAAACTGAGTTGATGGCGACGCAAGAACCCCTTCCGCCAGTGCCACGAAGCTTTGAACCCTAGAACATCATGTTCCGCGGCGATTTCAAGTGCTTGCATCTCTAGCATAGGCCCACTCACAGGCACGCCATCTTTTCGTAGCATGTTCACCCAGCCCACGAGCTCCTGTTCGGCCTCGGCAGACAGAATGGTAGCCACACCAACGGGTCTTAAGTACTTGAGGTCTGCGGTTTTGGGGTCTTCACATAACAGCTTCAGGGTTTCGTGGTTTTCTATCCAGGTATGAATTAGCTTGCGCTTCGAGTCCTTAGACTTGCTGCTCAAAGTGCTAAAATACTTGTCTACAGTCTTCTGCATGCGCTTGTTGCACTCGAAAAAGTACTCGACAATCTCTAGCTTTAGCCTGTTAGTGGTACACCTCCGTCTATGTGTCGGCTTAGTTCTTCCTTGCCCGGTTATTCGAGGCCGGCCTGGTGGCTTGGATCTCCCCATGGCAGACGCGTGGTGATTGACTGGCTAGTGTGAATAGCCCCCTTCCATGACTTTCATAAAATTACCAAATTGTACTGTGATCGAATCGATCGCTGATTGGTCACTGTCAAGGTGTCCGTAAATGGCCAAAGTCCGTTTGCACATAAGTTTTACGGTATGGTGTAACTCGGCGAAAAGTTCCGGAATGTTTTTGGTTTATACGTTTTACTGGGGGCTGTCCCACTTCTGTCGGCACCAATTCCCACCAGGTTTGACCATTTTGCACCACTTTTTGTGTCCCACTTATTTGTCCCATCGGCCCCCAGAATCTCGCTACCAGTAGACGGCAGCTCACACCGCTCATATCGCCACCATAGGAGCCGAAGACACAACCGCTCAGATATCCAGCATGGTCAAGGGCACCTGAGAGTGTCAAACAACAAGATCATGCACTACAACAGCCACTCATCCAACCTACAACGAGTGTGTGAAGGAACAGAGGAAAGGACGCGCCAAAAAAGCAGCGCCAGCGGTGGAGAGTCTCCATTTCTCCGCCTGCGAGGTAAGTTTGATTGTATACATTGCATTTAGTGCA